TATTAACAAAAATATGTTACATAACAAAATATTAGTACAATAGGCACTGCTTATTTCAATAGAAATTTCTTCCAGCAGACTTAGGAAGTGAGATTTCATCGTGGATATACGGATAAACGTGCACAATAATACAATTTAAGATAATTTTAATACATAAACTAGTAACATACATAATAAATACATATAAATACGAGTATACCTAAATAAATACAACATGAGCTACAATATAATATAGGATTGATTCTATTATAAGCCTGCATCGCACAGCATCACAAAACATCTGCTTGCAACAAATCCCATCAATAAGTACTCGCAGAAAGGTCTCAGAGTTGAGTGCCTTTATCGGACAAGTAAAATGATCCCAGACACAATTGAGACATATCAACCGCATCAAGGCTCCTTTCAATTAAAGGTTGACGGACAGACGAGGGGTTAACGAGGCCAATCAGCCCTTCAGTTCGGCGCAGATTAAATCAACACTACATACAGGATCTTATCAATCGCATGGGATAGACTTATAAAAATATAAATATTCATCCTATAACTATCCCAAAAATCTGAAGAAATAAAGGCATATAAATAGTACCTTTCCGCACGTTTTGTACTGGCGGCGATGGCAGATCTACCTAGGTATTGCCGGCACGTAAAAGAATTTACAGGACTCTCAATTCTGTATGCGTCATTGCATTGGTAATAATGTCTTAGTTATCATTCTTATAGTGTTTTTTTTTTCAGATTCTATATCATGTCTATTAAATGGATGTTTTCTAGATTTTTTTCAGTCTCGTGGATAAAGACTTCTTATTGGTCACATTCACCCATTAACTTGGAGCCAGCGCTCACATTTCAATCAATTAATTTGTCATTATTGGCTTGAGCGCCACTAACCTCAATCGCGTTAATACAAATTACGACTTTTAGAAGCTGCTAATCATCTTTCTTTTTTCATATCTGTAGTTAATACGTGGAATTTCGTTGAAATATGACATCAAAGTTTGCAATAGATTTTTTTAACTTACAATAAATTCTATAATATTATTTTTGTTTATCTTATTTCCATGTATGACATCCGAATTGACGTCAAAGTTAGTATTTGAGTTGAGTACTTATTCTTACCGACTTGTCATATATCTTACCTACTATCTCAAATTCTACGAATAGTTTTACATCCGAGGTTTACATAGGTATATTATAAGTGTCATTTTATTGGGTGCCCCTTCGAACGCATAACATTTTTACTCCTATTCGCATTACGCATAACACTTTCGGCATAGTTGTCATTTCGCATAATTGTAAATTGGCATAATTTTTTAAATGCATAATAGATATATTTGCATAACAATAAATATCCATACTTTTGTTTACCATAACGATTATAGTCATAAACTTAAAACCTCATAAGAATCATGGAATGGATAATTAGTAAAAACTTATTCAGAAAATACACTTGGGCACGAATGGCACAATGTAGGTAGGTACTTTGCCGTATTCCTCAGTGGAGTATTGACAAAAAAATAAATTAGGGTATAATAAACATGCAAATAATAACGCATTCTTTTTCCAAACTTTAGTTTTTTTATAGTATTTAGTTGCCGTGTCATGCCATTTGAGAAATGCATCACCCCAATACTAGCCGTGGGTGTCGCAAAAAGCAAGTTAAAGATTACATTCAAGATGGATGGGCAGCCGTATTCCCTGTAAATGCAACATCTTGCACTGCACTCGTCAATCCTCTTGCCAATCGTGTCAAATACACAATCAAATACTTACCTACCATATGAAGATTGCTATTTTTGTTACAATTAAGGTGAAACCGCGTTGCGCGGCACGGCGCGGCAATTGCAGCGTTGTTTAAACATTTTTTACAGATTTTATCACATAAAAAATTGTGTCATATTGCGATTGTAATTTTATTCCTACTGCCTTTTATGCGTTTACTTCGTTATGCGTATCGATCGTATGCCAAACAAATGTATGGCAAAAAAGTTATGCTTGATTAAGATTATGCGAAAAGATGAGTATGCCTAAAACAGGTATGCAAAAGTACGTTAGGACAGATAATGTTATGCATTCGAATATGGACCCCATTTTATTACTTGTATGTATACGTACCGCCGCGTATTCTAAACAGCATTTTAGCTAGCAGATCTGATTGGATTTAAGAAATAAAACCTAGACTTGGAGCGATTTTACTACTATTGTACTTTTATAACTGCTAATTAAGCATTTACAAACAAACAAACAAACACATTTTTAATTAAGCATTTAAAAATGTGTTTGTTTGTTTGTCCTTCCTTCACGTTCACGTCACAATAGAGCAACATCATGCACTTTTTTTGGGTTTGCAGTTAGGTGAGAGGCTGGAGAGTGACATAGGTTACTTTTTATCCCGGAAAAACATATTTTTTCCATCGGAAAACTTATTTATGTTTAGCATGAGAGTACATCCATACTACATACTTAAATGAATATCATGCAGCTATATCATGGAATTTTTTTTTTGGTGGGCAGTTAGATGAAAGGCTTGAGATTAAAATAGAATGCTTTTTATCCCGGAAAAAAAGCTTTTCGCGTCTATGATTTTAGTGCCCTCCTAGTTTTTCGCCTTACGATGTGTCATTTAGAATACACAACTAATTGATAAATCCCTATGAGTACGCGGGCGAAGCCGCGGGTAACAGCTAGTTATTAATATTAGTAGTAGTAAATAGTACATTGTATACGCGGGAAGAAAGAAACCGATTACTAACGAGGGTAGCTGAGGGCCTCAATACACACGAGTTTGTAGTCGGACTTTCATCCGAGTAATACATAGTGATATAAACTACACCTGCGGGGTCAGTTGTAACAGCCACGGGGTGAATTGAAACATCTGCAAAAAATAAACTACCTAGGTACACTATTCCAATCTCTCACATGCATACGGCAGCGCATTTTTTAAAGTCAATAGCTTTCAAAACTGAATAATTATCTTTAAAAACTGAAGTAAAGGCGCGCCTGTCTCTCTCAACATTTACCGACACACACAAATAAAGGTACAAAATTTTCCAGTTCCCTAAATGAAGCTGCGTTTCAATGCAGCTTTAATAAAAAGTCTCGCAATTTTCTTTTCAAGTTTCTCATCCTTAACTGGTCATCCAATTTCATCCAATCCAAAACAAGAGAAAAATTAAAAACATTGTTATTATGTAGGGTAGTGTGTATTTTCCAGTGGCCAGCTCGTAAAAAGAATTTCATACTTCCGTGGTACTCGGCAGAGCGCCAGTTCGCCACTTTTGAATTTGCCTGTTTCTGTGAATAAATTATCTACTCTACTTTGTTTGAGACAACACTCGCCATATTTTACAAGATATTTTCCTTTTTTGTCGTAACACTGAAATAGAACAGTGGGAATGCTAGTAGGTATAATCTCGTATTGTTCTAGTAAAAGATTGCGTGGAACTCAAGCTACTAAGTTTGGGCGGAATCTGCCCAACGCTGACATTGGTAAAAAAAAATAATTAAATATCTGAACCCACTACTACCAACGGTTCGTCTTAGAAGATTTCTACGCATAAAAGCAAATAGAAAAAAAAGGCAAGGTGCGAGTTGGACTCGCCCACCGAGTGTTCCGTACTAAGATTTGTAGGTTATTCTGGTTGGTAGGTAAACCTATAATATGTTGTTACTCCACTTGGAGAACAAACCAAATTTCTTAAATTTTTTTTCGTCCCCCATGGAAACCATAAATTTATGACATCGATTTTCCGTGCCTTTAATTCGTATTTCAAACTCAAACTGAGGCTACTTGCTAAATTTCATTGTTTTAGGTCTACGGGAAGTACCCTCTGAATTTTGATTCCCTTGAGAGGGTAAAAACCACGCGTTTTTACTGCATAAACGGCTATATCTTTTTTAACTTGAAGTTAGTTGCCTGATTTTTTCACAACTACTAGCGTTTATAGACTTGAGTATACGGTTTTAGTTTCAACTCGATATCTTTACGCGTTCCTGAGAGAAAGGGTCTTGACAGAATGACAGACAGACAGACGGTCAATAAAGTGATCCTATAAGGGTTCCGTTTTTTAGCTTTTGAGGTACGGAACCCTAAAAAGGGTAGAAAACAATGTGGACAGAGCGTCTGGAAGCCGCAAATATAGGGCTCCGCCACTACGTCGCCTTGCCGCCCGCCCGCCCGCGCGCGCCTCCGTCATTAAGACAATACCATTAAATGAATGGACCGAGGGACGCCCACGCCCCGCGATGAACTGAGGGCTCTTAAAACAGTCCCACTACACACTTTATAGGGGGTGTAAGAGACAGCTCTCCAAATAATGATAGGGTTCATACAGGCCATGTAACTAAACAACTTCTCATGAGAAAATATTTCAAGAGACGAAAAATTTTACATTCTAGATACAAAGTTACGAATTACGAGCGCGTTTATTTATGTGCAGTCAGCATTTACTATGGGAAGTTTGAAAACGTTACGTCTCAAGAAAAAGAAGAATTTAGAAGTTGTGCTGTTGGAGAGCTGTCCCTTACACCTTAAATAGGGCGAAATTTTACTAGTGACCGATACCGTAAACACGAGACGGGTTGATGGTAATGGGTTGATATAGATGACAACTTTTCACACGAAACATAATGCGAAATATTTAAGCAAAAATGGATTTCCATACAAAATGAACCAGCCGACTAAGTTAATTTGTATGACAAGGCCAAATATTTTTTTCACATTTCGGCCATGCTCTGTTCTGAAAGTTGTTCATTATCAACTTATCATATCACCAGCCCGTCAGTGGTTTCGGTATCCGTCACTAGTAAAATTTCACCCTATATTAAAAGTCCTACTGCTTACATACTTTATATTCCTAGCACAAAAGATAAATAAGACATTGGCACTCTTCCTATAAAGCCGCATCAAGTGGATTTAGTCCAGATTTTATGCAAACCATTAAAAGGAGAAACAATGGCAAAACTGAATGACAATGCAAATAATTTTGGAAAGCAAGCTTGACGGCCCATGTGGCACAGTGGTAGTGTGACTACCTGCGATGTAAAATGGTTCGGGTTCGATTCTCGGTGGGCCACTCACAAAGTCGATAATTATCACTTTGTGAATTTGTTCCGGGTCTGGTTAGTACATTATAGGATGAACCACATGATAATCCGAAAATGAAGATGGTTGGTCCCGGTTGCTGAATGTGATTACTGAGATAGTCGTTACACAACCATATCAGAGGCCTGCTAAGTATTGTAAGCGGTTGAAAAATTCTGATACCAGGTTCCATCGGGTTGTTGGACGTCTCGGTGTTCCACTCGAAAAGAAGAATAAGAATATTTTGGAAGCGCCTAAGCGCATCTGTCATGTTATGGCATGTCATGGCAGTTCCTTGAAAGCTTTTATTGCATTTGTATTTATGATTGCTGCTATTAATGGTAATATCGTATTCCGTAGCAGTAGCTGGTAATGTCGCCAAGGTCCTTGCAGTATGTTTTAATAGTTTGAGTTAGAGATGAACTGCCTGTGGACTGACTAGCCTACTACCGACTAAACTACTGGTGTTGCCGAACTATGCTTTCGAGAGGTAGAAAAATTCATTTATTTTTGAAAACTTTATACTTGTGTGTGTATTATTTTAGAGTTCTGGCTAAAAACCCTTGACGTAGACGTCTGATCCAGGCAGGGATTGCCATACGATATGATGATGATTTTTGAGTTTACCTTCTAGTATTTTGTTAAAAGGAGAGAAAAATATTGACGCACTCCAATTATCCAAACGAAATCTTGAAAGTGATGGAAATTGAAGAATTGAGTAGTGTCGAAAATTTAGAGAAAATCTTCCTTTCGAGTGGGACACCGAGTCGTCCAAGGACCTCGAGAACATGGGTATATATAATTACTAGATTGCCGTCTAGTCACAGACTGCAAAACTGTCCTATTATTCATTTTCCCCGACTAGCGTTCACATCTCTAGTTGTAATAGTTGCAATTAGGGGCTCGTTATCGATCTCACGCGGCTCGGCGGCTGCGCCGGCGCCGCAGCCTGACACGTCCCCTCAGCGGGGCACGTCCCATACAAGTCCCATACTCTCATGCTACGCGAATACATTAATAAACTGTAACGAGAAAACTTAGCTAGTGTAAAAAACACGGTGTAAAGAGACTCAAAAAACGTAAAAATTCTATCATTACTACATTGCCGACTAGTCACAGACTGCAAAAATGTCCTATTATTCATTTTCCCCGACTAGTGTTCACATCTCTAGTTGTAATCGTTGCAATTAGGGGCTCGTTATCGATCTCACGCGGCTTGGCGGCTGCGCCGGCGCCGCAGCCTGGCACGTCCCCTCAGCGGGGCACGTCCCATACGAGTCCCATACTCTCATGCTACGCGAATACATTAATAAAATGTAACGAATGCTTGAGAGTGACAGAAATTGAAGAAAATTTATCTAGTGTCCAAAACTTGGTCTAAAAAGACGTATAAATTCTCTTATTAGGTACTACATTTCCGACTAGTCACAGACTGCAAAAATGTCCTATTATTCATTCTCCCCGACTACTGTTCACATCTCTAGTTTTAATCGTAGCAATTAGGGGCTCGTTATCGATCTCACGCGGCTCGGCGGCTGCGCCGGCGCCGCAGCCTGACACGTCCCCTCAGCGGGGCACGTCCCATACGAGTCCCATACTCTCATGCTACAAGAATACATTAATAAAATGTAACGAATGCTTGAGAGTGACACAAATTGAAGAAAACTTATCCAGAGTCGAAAACTTGGGGTAGTATAAATTCTATCATTACTACACTGCCGACTAGTCGCAGGCTGCAAAAATGTCCTATTATTCATTGTCCCCGACTACTGTTCACATCTCTAGTTGTAATCGTTGCAATTAGGGGCTCGTTATCGATCTCACGCGGCTCGGCGGCTGCGCCGGCGCCGCAGCCTGACACGTCCCCTCAGCGGGGCACGTCCCATACGAGTCCCATACTCTCATGCTACGCGAATACATTCATAAACTGTAACAAATGCTTAAGAGTGACAAAAATTTAAGAAAATTAGTACAGTGTCCAAAACGTGGTGTAAAAAGGCTAATTAACGTCGTACTCATGAAACTAAACAACTTTCCCCATGCAACATGGGTCGAAATGTGAAAAATAAAATTTGGAACTCCCATACAAAATGGCCGATCAGCTGATTAATTTACTATGAGAGGTCCAATTTCTTTTTCATATTTCGACCCATGTTCCATGGGGAAAGTTGTTCAGTTTCATGAGTACCTTGACCTCCTTTCGGCTTGTTATACCCTTTCCGTTAGGTACTCCCTGTATAATGCCGACTAAAGTCACAGACTGCAAAAACTTCCTATTATTCATTTTCCCCGACTACTGTTCACATCTCTAGTTGTAATCGTTGCAATTAGGGGCTCGTTATCGATCTCACGCGGCTCGGCGGCTGCGCCGGCGCCGCAGCCTGGCACGTCCCCTCAGCGGGGCACGTCCCATACGAGTCCCATACTCTCATGCTACGCGAATACATTAATAAACTGTAACGAATGCTTGAGAGTGACAGAAATTGAAGAGAACTTATCCAGAGTCGAAAACTTGGAGTAGTATAAATTCTATCATTACTACATTGCCGACTAGTCACAGACTGCAAAACTGTCCTATTATTCGTTTTCCCCGACTAGTGTTCACATCTCTAGTTGTCATCATCTTCCTGCCCTTATCCCAATTACTTGGGGTCGGCGCAACTCGGTTTTGTTGAACACAAAATCGTATTGCAAAGGATTTGGCTTAATTTTACGACCGGCCGCCTACCAGACGTCAACCCTCCTTGGGAATGCTTTTGTGTGGATTAACTACCACCATACGGTTGGCCCTAGCTGTTTGGGTAGGGTTTATCCCTCGGTCGCCTCTTACGACCCCCACGGGAAGAGAGGGGGTGGTGCTATTCTACTCTGCCGCCACCACACGGCTACTTGCATCTCTAGTTGTAATCGTTGCAATTAGGGGCTCGTCATCGGTCTCACGCGGCTCGGCGGCTGCGCCGGCGCCGCAGCCTGACACGTCCCCTCAGCGGGGCACGTCCCATACGAGTCCCATACTCTCATGCTACGCGAAACATTAATAAACTGTAACAAATGCTTGAGAGTGACAGAAATTGAAAAAACCTTATCCAGAGTCGAAAAGTTAGGGTAGTATAAACTCTATCATTACTAACTACATCGCCGACTATAGTCACAGACCGCAAATACGGCCTATTATTCATTTCCTCGACTACCGTTCACATCTCTAGTTGTAATCGTTGCAATTAGGGGCTCGTTATGGATCTCACGCGGCTCGGCGGCTGCGCCGGCGCCGCAGCCTGACACGTCCCCTCAGCGGGGCACGTCCCATACGAGTCCCATACTCTCATGCTACGCGAATACATTAATAAAATGTATGGAATGCTTGAGAGTGACGGAGATTGAAAAAAACTTCTCTGTCTAAAACTAGGAGTAAAAAAGCTTTGCCGACTATAGTCACAGATTGCAAAAATGCCCTATTATTCATTTTCCCCGACCACTGTTCCCATCTCTAGTTTTAATCGTTGCAATTAGGGGCTCGTTATCGATCTCACGCGGCTCGGCGGCTGCGCCGGCGCCGCAGCCTGACACGTCCCCTCAGCGGGGCACGTCCCATACGAGTCCCATACTCTCATGCTACAAGAATACATTGATAAAATGTAGCAAGAAAACTTATCTAGTGTAAAAAAACACGGGGTATTCAGGCTCAAAAAAAAAGTAAAATTTCTATCAACACTACTTTGCCGACTATAGTCACAGACTATAGATATTAGTCTTTATCCCCGACTACTGTTCACATCTCTAGTTGTAATCGTTGCAATTAGGGGCTCGTTATCGATCTCACGCGGCTCGGCGGCTGCGCCGGCGCCGCAGCCTGACACGTCCCCTCAGCGGGGCACGTCCCATACGAGTCCCATACTCTCATGCTACAAGAATACATTAATAAAATCTAGCGCAAAAACCTAACAGTTTCGTCGAAACCATAAAACGACTAGTAAATTGTTCGAGAAATACACGTAATGTGCGTTTGTGCGATATTTTTGCGTAACGCATGCGGTAGGATAGTATGGATTTCGACTTTATTCTCATACGTTTTCTGTCAAACGGTTTGACAGAGGCATCCGTCGACATAGCGTTGTGCAATATTTCTGCTGCGCACTGCACAACGCTGCGTCGCATTTTCCTTACGTATGCGATAGCACTACGAAAAATAATGCACAAACGGACGTTACATGTTTCTCGCCGTAGTGAACAATGGGCGTTTTTTGGGGAAACTAATCCGCAAGATGGCGTTATACGCTTCTAAAGACTTTCAGGGAATAGCTGTCAAATTTTGACATGTAAGAAGTCTCCAAAAACGCCCATAGGCATGCAAGTCAAACATAACATAGCTTCATGGGTAGCGCACAGAGCTAGACCGGGAAAACCGAGAATAATTTTGGCTAACATAACTTGATACAAACGAGCCGTTGAAATTGTTACAGCCAGCTCGGATTCTTGGCAGTGAAGTTACACATCCGGGTACACGCAGTTTGTCATACGGAAGCTGTCATAGGCCGTTGACTTTTTGGAGCTTTTCATACTACGATGCTCGAAATTGTTATGAAATAGCACTTAAGTTAAAGTACTTGTTAGGTTTCCGTAGCATATAGCTACGTACTACACTAGCTACTCTTGATTGAACTAGATTTTAATATTACAAACATTGATTATAGACTCTGATGTGTCACATCTAGAATTACGATATGTAATATGTGGTTTATTACACGTCCATGTAAGTGTGTTTATGTTGTAAAAACGTTGTAATAAATGCGTACGACCGTGTTTCCTTGTTTTGTTGGCATATGTTATCGAATATGGAAGTGAGGCGGAATTGCGAGCAACATAACTATGAATAGGTTTTATTGATTATAAGCAAGTGCGACTTGTACCTTAGTACGAGGGAATTCGCTACTTGAGGGGGTCATAGGAAAATAAAATACTTATAAACGTTTATGCTTAACTATTTATACTTAC